TCTTTAGTTTACTCAAACCTCCCTTAGAGGTGAGTTGTGTGGTATTCATATAATCATGAATTGTGTGTCTTTATTCATTGCTTTTATCACATATTGCCACATTCAACTTTAGGAATGGGTTTGCATTCTCAATGCTTATCATAAGTCACATTCTCTTCAAGGAATGGATCATAATCAGCGACGTGCTTTATTATTTTCATACCAATTTGATGGTAAGCATTGCCTTCACATTTTGAAGGACTATTTTGAGAACCCTTATTGTTCTCCTTTTATAATCATAGTGATGATTATTATTATTTTGATATTTGGAACGCCCACGTTCATTGTTCAACCACTTGTCTTCATTGAAACTTATTATGCACTGTTATCACATTCACTTCAAGAATGGAGCAAATCAAGTGGGACAATTTTCATGCCTTTTCATGAAAAATATATTATTTTTCTTTAGTCATCATTATATCATCAATATGGTACATTGGGACTCAAACCCAATGTCTTACCAATATAAAGGCATGTTAGGCCATAATAAATTGGGACTCAAACCCAACTCTTATCATTATGGAGCATCAGGACTTGATCCCGATGTCTTATCCTCAATCAATGGCATAATAGGCTAAACAATATTGAGATTCATTCTCAAGCCTTAATTTCAATCACATGCCAAGAAAGTTATACACAACTAATTTGCAACTTAGCAAATCAAATTTGCTTTCTTAAATAAGTGTACAAATCTCAAATCAGCGTAAAGCTTTATTAATTATTTGTAGCATCTATATGAAATACAATTATTTGTAGTCAGAATATTTCTTCTAAATTCTATTAGAGTTTAAAAGGATCATAAAATCATTGTCATAATATTTATTGAGTCTCTCTCAAAAATATTGTTGTTTTCGGGGTATACTCTACCTATTGGATTTGATTTAATGCCATGACTTCCTTTCACTCAATTCAACCAAGCAATTAGTGAATAAACTTATCAAAAGTATATCATATAGGTAACAACACATATATAGTACTAATACATAAATTCAGCATTTATATTACCTGAAAAGTGACATTATAGGTAACAACTTACCAGTTGTAGCTTGTGCATCATTCATATAAAATACTTGAAAATGGTAAGTCAGTAGCAAACATCAAGTAGGTTATGGATACTCAAAAATACCTCTTGTAGTAGTCATACTAATCATTGTTTGCTTTCAAATGATATGACCATAAATTATGAAGTATATTTTCTCAATAGCTGGTTTGTTTTCCAAACTTCAAAGAAGTAATTAATCAACCTAGATAAAGATGTGAAGTATTTCTTGTTTTCTTCAAGATGATTTATGCTTTTAATCAGTATGACCAATTTTATTTTATTTTTTATTTCTTTTTTTTGGTACTATATGCAAGTGTAAAAATCCAAAAGGAAAAAAAAATATTCATCCAAGTAAAAGAAAATGTTTAAAGCGGCAGGACAGATTGAAGATAGTTAACACATAAATATGCATAGGACAATTTATATAAAATATCCTTGGTTACCATGACATGCATCATATCAACAATTAACTGCTACTATGATTTTCACATATAGAACTTCGAAAATTTTATTCCATTCATGTGATATAAAAGATGTAATATTAATATGTGCTTATGCAATACAGGTGTAGTACGAAGTTGTGTGCATATGAGATTTTAAAGGAATGACAAGTATAAGATAATCATACCTTCTTACATTTCATTACTTACCATATGTAGTTTCTCTTTACATTTAACCATGTGATGATATGTATGGCTTCTAATTGTAATCTTTCCAGATGTAGAAAAAAAATTATAGATATATATATACAATTAGTTAGAGACTCGTGCTGATAACGTATTATGAAATAAAAGCAATTTAGTAAAACATGAACAAGAAATAAAGACAATTTAGTAAAACATGAACAAGAAATAGAGATAGAGAGAAAGGAAGAGATTTTCTTCTTAAATTGTGTGTGTTTTCCTATCTATTACAAGGCCTTTATATAGGCATGAAAAGTGAAGAAAATATGTCATGGAATATGTCATTGAACATAGAAAATATGTCATTGAATATGTCATTAACCATTTGAGAGAAAGATCATGGAGGAAGAGTAGACATCCACCATATTTTGATTTTTATCATAACAGTTCCAGCTACTTATATAATAGTACTGGTATTAAATTGCATACACAAATCATAAACTAATACATTAACATGTTCGTGACTGAGTTAAAACACCCGAATTTATAGTTTTGGGTGTTGGCTTGTCATTAATAATGTTATTAAATGGCCAATTTGAAGCCAATATTTATAGCGGAATAGGGACAGCTAGTAAAGGAATTGATCTCGCTAGTGTAATGCCAAACTTCTCTTCCACATCCAAATCTTCTGGTGCAATATCACCTTCAGCTTTCCAATCAAATGAATTCAACAATGAACCCAACATTACAGACAATATCCTGGTTGCCAAAGGTAACCCTGGGCAAATTCTTCGACCAGCACCAAATGGAATGAGCTCAAAATCATCCATTTTCACATCCCAAAATCTCTGTGGGTTAAATGCCAAAGGATTCTCCCAAATAGTTGGGTCGCGGCCCATTGACCATACGTGCACTAACACTTGGGAGCCTTCTGGAATAAAGTACCCACACGCCTCAACGTCTTGGTCTACCTTTCGCATCAAAAAGGGAACTGGTGGATGCATCCGCAGGGTTTCTTTCACTATGCACTGCAGATAAGGGAGGCGAGCAATATCGGCCTCTTCTATTACCTTGCCTTTGCCAATAACTTGTGCAAGCTCGGCTTTAGCCTTTCTCATAATATCTGGGTTTCTCATGACCTCTACCATTGCCCATTCTAATGTATTTGAACTTGTATCAGTTCCTGCAACGAAAAGATCCTGCAACATAATAAGGGATGTCAAAACTAATGTAAATTAGAAGATTTACACTTGCAATGGGATAGACCATTGTCACATATACTCGTGCAAATTGGTGGTGTACCTTTTTCAAAATAGACTTTCTGTTTCTACAGTAGCAAGTACTATGCATGTTGTATATGTGTCCACGTAACCGTGTGTATGCTTTTTATTAATCTGAGGTAGTAAACCAATGTAGTGTATTTATATATATAGCTCTTCCCCTAACATGGTAACTGTGATAAGTAAATCTATGCACAAATTGGCCAAAAGCAGAGGGCAAATTAGATCCAGAAATATGTGTTAAGGTCGAAAGCAGATAGCAGTAGTTTGAGAACAAAACCAGATTATAGGAAAAAGTTCGAAACGAATCTAGTGAAGGCGAATAGAGCAGCATTTGACAAATAAGGAACATAACGAAGATAAAGAAATCCAAAATACCAGGCACAAGTGTACTATCTGATTTTTGTCAATTGCCTGTGGATCCTCTGGACTAGTATTTAACAAAACATCAAGAACATCAGTGCTACCACTATTCGGCGATTTCCTCCTTTGCTCTAATCGTTCATCAATCCATCCCTCAATCTGCTGAAGCAAATTATCAAAATGCTTGCCTATGCGTCGCCTTATCCCTTGAGGATCAATCCATTTCAACACGGGGAAATAATCAGCCAAATTGGGCTTACCAGCTTCTTCCATGATTTTCCACACAGCATCCTTAAATTCTTTGCCTGAATTTGCATAAGGGTCCACTACATCCTTGGAAAAAATAGTACTCGAAAGTAAATTCATAGAGGTCTCAAAAGCAGCTTGGCCTATATTCACTGCCTTCCCTGTTTGGCTACACTGACAGCAATAAGCAATAAAATCCTGGATCTTTTGGGACCTGAAATTAGAAGTGACAACATCAACTAGTTTGTTAGCAACCCGCCAAAGCTGTCCAGGTTTAAACACAAGTAAGTTTATGGCCGTCTTTTGACTTGATCCTTCAAATATCGGGTCAAATATAATGTAATCAAGCAAAATTATTTTGAAAACATTTTCTTTTTGAAAAAAGCAATATAAAAAAGGATGGGAAGTTGGGTCATATTGGTTTAAACTTATTTTGACTCGAGCAAACTTTGGACAGGTTAGTTCATGCTGTTTTATTGATTTGACCGTCCAATTTTAACTCAACCAATTAAGCCAATTTGCAATTTGTACCTAAGATGCTGATATTCATCAAGCCTGTTGCCTGAGAAAATATTAGAATTCAAGATTTTCCGCAGGGATCTCCAACGAGTAGTAACAGGTAGAAATACGACAGAGAACTGATAGTGATTATGGGAATGGAGTGCATCTGGGATTGTTCTGCTGGAGAAGGCCAAATCTTGGTTTTTAAGGACTTGTTTAGCCACGGCTGATGAAGATATTACCACCGTCCTTATTTGGCCCATTCTGAGGCTGATTATTGGACCATACTTTTCTGCAAGCCTAGCAAGTGACTGGTGGGGTTGATCACCAAGAATGTTATGCAAATTTCCAATCAATGGTAGGGAAATTGGTCCTGGTGGAAGTTTTTGGTTACATATGTTGCTTGTTGCTAGCCAACAAATGCCTTGAACAAAAGTCCAAGTAAGTAGTAATCCACCTACAATTGCTAGATAATCCATAGGAATGTAATATTCTATCCAGAGTACGTGCCAGTACTTAAATACTGCATCATATTCTAAATATAGAAGGTGTCAACATTGTGTATTTGCCTTTTTTCTAACTATGACAGCCACAAAGTTGTGGAGAAAGATATCAAGCAGTTCACATCTTATGGAAACGGAATAGCTACGCCAGCAGGTGGGAGTGCGTGCGCCATGTGATACACGACTACTATTTTTCACATGGTTCCAAATACTACAACTTTTGCTTTCTTGTTTTTATTTTTATTTTTACAAACTAGTTTTTGGACATGTTTGATAAATTAATTTTACGGAATTCTTGATACTTAACATTGCATTCCGAGGTCCCTTACCTTGTAATAGGTGTGCATACAGTCAAAATCGGGCTTATCTAATTTTGTACCACTAACCGAAATCGGGACGGAAGATGAAGGCCCGGCCCCGGTTATATCGGAATATGGTACGGAGATGGATTGGTAAGCTCATGGATCGATAGCCGATCAAGATCGAGGCCGACCGTGATCGAGACCGAAGCGAGAAAGAAATCGAGCAAGATCGAAGGAAGTGTGCCACGTCGAATAGCAGAAAGCCGAGATATTTGTGATCGAGCGAGGATCGTGGCGGAAATCTCGGCACGTATCGAGTCAGGATCGGTTATTTAGCCTATCATGGGATTTACTTCTATAATTAGAATTATACCATAAATAGGATTCTTCTACTATATAAAGAGGGTCTTAACCATTTTGTAAACAATATACATTCACGCATAATAAGGCAATATATCATATTTTCTCTTGCAAGCTCTATTACTCAAGTTCATACTTTTCAATAAGCATACTCAGTTGGTTCGAGGGCAGTCCAGCTCGAGGGCCATAGTTGTTCATCACATTGGTTTGCTTTATTTTACTGTTAATTCCTAGCATTAATTCTCATATTTATCAGTTTATGCCAAGTGAAATCACATATCCTTAAAACCACTTATAAGTTTAATTGTTATCCGATTTTAAGGGTAAATAGTTTGGCGCCAACTGTGGGGCTAAGGATAATAGTGATTGTCTGGTATATTTTTTGTGGCATACGTAATTTTACGCTTGTTCATTGAAGTGTCTTTGATTTAAGGAACAACATGTCAAACGCTCAAATAGCACCCACACACACAGACGACGGCCTGGGTCTCCGTGGCGAGAACGACAACATAGCCGCCCCAGGAAACAAAGTGCCTCCAATCAACCCCAATGGAGCTCCGGCCATAGATCCAATCGATGTCAGCTCTCATATTGTCGTTAATGGGAATTTGGGCGTCGATCCTGAAAATAGCATCCACAGAGATGCTCGAACAGCCGATCAGAATGCACATGGTGGTGAAGAAGGCGGGATTATCCTTCGAATGATATTCGAAATGTTGCAGACTCAACAAGCTGCAATAGTACAACTCCAAAATCAGAATCGTGCACCAAGCAGGATCGAGCTCGAGCCATCACAAGAAATTGCCCATAGACCCGAATCGGTGCCAAAGAGATCGAATGGAGGAGATCGAAGACCAATCCTGCTATCCTAAAAATGCTCGAGGAACTGACGAAGTGAATCGAGACAGGGGAAAAGAAGATCGAGGAGAACGATAAGAAAGTAGAAACTTATAATTTCAGGGTCAACCAAATCCCGAGGGCACCGCCGATGTTGAAAAGACTTGATTCCAAAAAGTTTGTCCAAAAACTTTCCCCCCAAGTGCGGCTTCGAAGCCAATCCCCAAGAAATTTTGTATGCCCGAGATCCCGAAATATAATAGGACAACAGATCCAAACAAGCATGTCACCTCATACACATGCATCATTAAGGGAAATGACTTGGAAGATGACGAGATTGAGTCTGTATTGCTGAAGAAGTTCAGGGAAACTCTATCGAAGGGAGCTATGATATGGTACCATAACTTGCTACCTAACTCTATTGATTCATTTGCTATGCTTGCAGATTCTTTTGTAAAGGCACACTGTCACGACCCAAACCGATGGGCTGCGACGGGCACCCGGTACCTTACTCAACCGAGTACCAACATAGCGTATCTTTCATATCATTCTATTATAGGTAAATGAACCAAAATAAAGCCTAAGGGAATACAAACTTATACATATAAAGTATAGGCCTATAAGACCAAAATAGCCACTCGTGTACTGAACATAGGCCGACAAAGCCATATAATCTTTTACGTACATGACATCTGTCTAAAGACTCTATGAATACATAATTTTCATAAAGGTCGGGACAGAGTACCGCCATACCAAACAATACGCGTTTAAATCATAGTAACCAATCAAGCAATTCCGAAACAAATAGAGCAAACCAACATCTTTTGCTGAGCTGATAGCCTACTTGGAGGGCTCTCGACCTGTCTATCGGGGTATGCGGGCATAAAACGCAGCGTCCCCAGGAAAAAAGGGACGTTAGTACGAATAATATATCGAGTATATAAGGCACATAAATAAGTACATAACAGACATGGAAGAAGTATAGAGTAAATAACTCAACCTATAAGTCTAGATAACTCTATAAATCATGAAATACTTATAGTGTCATGCATATACGTATGAATGTCATGTCGTGCATAAGTACATGTGTTCATAATATCATTAAGCCTCTGAGGGAATCACATCATATCATCTCGGCCACTGTAGGCAAATCATCAATGTATACCAGCTGATCAGGTGGTGGTGCCCATATGGGAAAGATTATGGCGTTATATACGTACCACCACCCGATCAGCTGGTATACGTTGATGATTTTCCCATAGTGACCGAGATGATATGATGGGATGCCCTCAGAGGCTTGATGATGTTATGAACACATGTACCTATGCACGACATGATATTCATACGCATATGCATGACACTATAAGTATTTCATGATTTATAAAGTTATCCAGACTTACATGTTGAGTTATTTACTCTAACTTCTTCCATGTTTGTTATGTACTTATTTACTTACCTACTATGTACATTATTCATATTGACATCCCTTTTTGCCTGGGGACACTGCTTTTCATGCCTGTAGGCACCGATAGACAGGCTGAGAGCCCTCCAAGTAGGCTATCAGCTCAGCGAAAGATGTTGGTGCGCTCCATTTGTTTCGGAGTTGCTTGATTAGTTAGTATGATTTAGACGCGTATTGTTTGGTATGGCGGAACTCTGTCCCGACCTTTATGAAAGTTATGTATTCTTAGAGGCTTGTAGACAGATGTCATGTACGTAAAAGATTGTAATGCCTTGTCGGCCCATGTTTAGTACATGAGTGGCTATTTTGGTCTTATAGGCTCGTACTTCATATGTATAAGTTTGTATTCCCTCAGCTTTACTCCGGTTCATTTACCTATGATAGAATGATATGAAAGATACGTTATGTTGGTACTCAGTTGAGTAAGGTACCGGGTGCCTGTCGCATCCCATCGGTTTGGGTCATGACACACACACTGGAGCCATTAAGGTCACTACTAGAAAGTAGGACCTCTTCAAGGTAAGACAAAAAGACAAAGAAATGCTCAGAGAATTCGTATCTCAATTCCAAATGGAGCAAATGGATTTTCCACTAGTCACCGATGATTAGGCTATTCAAGCTTTTACTCAATGTCTTAACTCTCAGAGTTTCGTAGCTTCACAACAGTTGAAGCAGAATTTGGTCAAATATCCAGCTGTCACTTGGACTGATGTACATAATTGTCATGCCCCAAGCTCGGGGAGCGCGAACGGCGCTTAACCGAGTGAACTCGGCCAAGCAAGCCTGTTAGACACTTTTTACCCAACTCACTTACGATCAAGAGAAGACATAATTTCATTAATTTGACAATAAGAGATCATACAGGTTCATTACTAAGCCATTTCATTAGCTACATCATTGTTAAATTTCAAAATACATACACCTTACGATTTAGTGGAACAAGAATCCAAAACATAACATAATCCATTGACCTTCTCAACACCCACATAACGTCTATGGAGCCTCTAAGTAGATACAAAAGAGAGTGCTACAAAAGTATCGGCAGGAAGGCCCCGGCTATACCTCAAAACATGATAAGAAGGTAAACAAGAGATACAAAAGATATAGGACCCCGAAATGATGTGGGGCTCACCAAGTCAGCTGGAAAGAGGGTGCACCACTAGCTGCAATCAACTATGTCTGCTATGGAACCACCTACATCCATTTAAAGATGTAAAGCCTCCGACAAAAGGGACGTTAGTACTGTCGAATAGTACTAGTATGTAAAGCTAAGCACCAATCTTAATAGAATGAACAATGAAACAAAGAGGAAGTAGTTATGATGTACAATAAGAGCTTCAAACAAATATGAAAAATATCAAGTAAGGATTACATAGTTCTCGGTTCAATTTCCATATTATTAGGTTGATAAGCATAGTGCCATGTGCCACAATTTTCAATACCACTGTGTTCCTACACGGAGTCCGATCTCAACCCGATCGGCTAGGTCATCTCATTTGAGACATCAACCATATTCACAATTTCAATCAATCATTTCTAGCACAGTTACCACCATGTGTGCGCCATGGTGTCTGCTCACGGCCCGATCGGCTAGGTCATCTCAGTTGAGACATCATCCCTTCAATCGTTCATCTCAATTCACATTTCCTTCCCATATTTTAATGCATGGCACGAGTGGCCTCATTTATTAAGTCGTTCTTGGCTCTTGGTCGTATCTTACAATCCAGGTTTCCCTTTTTATACATTCAAATAACACTATCATCAACATCAATAAAGCCTATCATATAAGGCATTGCACACATAAGGGAAAAGCTTAGAAAATCCTAATCACACGGAGGCTTTTCATATAAATTAGCATAGCAATCTTTATTCGATTCTTGACATGAATTCTTGACCTTTCTCAACACATATTCCACATTTCAAACACATTCTCAAATAGCATGATGACATGGTAAATATTTAGAACAATTATCGAACATGAATCTTTCAGCACAACACATTATGGTAGTCAATTCTAGTATGATCAATTTAGGGACTTACACCAATTACGTGAACACCAGAGGTTCGATTCTAAGAAGAAGGGGATTTAGCCATGCATACCTCAATTGAGCTCTTATAACTTTAAGATGTTTCCGAAACTATCAACTTCATTCTATTTTGCAATATAGCAGAATTGAACCCAAAATTAGGAGAATGATGTATAATTCTAGCTCACTAAATCATTATATCAAACACTATGTGTTCATTATGTTTTAAGACTCGTTTTGTGTAAGATTCCATCATTCCACAACCCATCTTTTATCATTTTTAGCCCATACTCTTCCTACATTCTTTCACCACCCATGCATGTAAAACAAACAACCCTCAAGCCCATGAACCATCTTGCTAATTACCATTTTAGTAGAAATTTTGAAATTAAGAGATAACGCATAGATTCTTACCTTTAAGGTAAGGACTTAGTGAACTTCACTTGACAATTTTCAAGGATTTTTATGCAAGAATTCAGGAATAATTGGTTGAGGATCACTCTCTCACTCTAGGACTCCTTCTCTCACTCTAAAACGTCAGGAATAGGCTCAAAATGAGCCTTAGCATATGTTTTAACGACATGGGATCGGGTTTAAAATTA